TATATATATATCGTAGTATAAATATATAGATATATTACATAATATATTATCACTGTGTGTTATATAAAAAGATGATACTTTTTTCACATTGCACATATTTTTCAAAATATAAAATATAATCAATAAATAATAACACCGTTGTGCTATCTATCTGAATTTAAAAAACTAAATGCATTATATAGAGCATCGTAATATAAATCACAAACAATTATGCAAAATACATACATAAAACAAATTTTAGATTGATTAAATTTTTTGAATGTTTTATTTTTATAGATCGTTTAAGAGATTATACAGGAGGAAAGATATTAATATTAGTTTGGATAAGATTAATATTATAATAATTCTGAGAGATATTGATGATATCGGTCATTTTAAGCAAAAATATTCATATAAACTATGTTCCGCACAGAAAAATACATTTATGTTATTATAAAAATATTTCAAAAAATATTTTACTTGAACAATCAATTATTAGAAAAAGTACATACTATCTCTTTTTTAACAATAATTTCGCAACTATATATTCAATCTTGGAAATTATTTGGAATAAAACACATATTCATATATGAAAATGTTTGCTTAAAATGATTGATATTATCACCTTTCAAAATACTGATCTTTTTGTTTTAGGACATCTTATATTCTAAGAAAATTTAATAAAGCAGAATTTTAAAAGATATATATACAGTTATCAAAAGTAATAATAAAATACATAATAGATACAATTAATTTTAAAAACAAAATTTAAATTCCTTATATAAAATAGTAGTTATATAAAGTAGTAAATGTAAATGTGCAGTTGATAAACGAAAAAAAGAGTAAACTGGAAAAAGGATATAAAAGTATCTAGAATAAAAAAAAAGTGAGAAATGAATGAGAGAATAAGAGAATGAACAAGAAGACATTCAAGATAAAACTATCACGGGTCTGTGAACACCGCGTTTGACACAAAACAGTCGTATGGGTGCGGCACGACAACGGCACGACATATAAAATCGCCATTATGAGAAGTGACGAACCAATCAATGTCATCATTGAACCACAACGTTCATATTGTTTTCATTAGAAGAAGCTACACAATAATTAGAATTTGTAAAAGAAAACATTGTTGTTTCACGTTTTGACCGTGTCAACGTCAATTAAAAATATATAGTTTTATATTGCGTTTCGACAAAATTTATATTTTACATTAAATAATTCTTTCCTCACAAGACAATATTAAATAATTTTGCATGTATAAAAAGTAAATAGCACAAACGTGGCGATTGCGTGCTGGAGCAAATGAATCAAATACCACTACTCCCAGTGATTGCTAAACACGATTACTCATCAGTAATTGAGTAATCGTATTAATTATGACAATCAATGTTACTTACGATAGGAACAAAAAGAATAATGTAAACTATAAATGCATCATAGAAAATAAACTAGAGAAAAGCGTGAAATATTGTTATAAAAGTAAAAAATGATCTTGAAATCAATACGATGTTACATAATTAATGACTAATTGTTTGAATGAGTTTGATTGAGAATTGCTTATAGTCATTGTGTAGAAATAGAAAGAAAAAAAGATGAC